CAAGTTCAATTTCACAATCCTCGTATTTTCGGAGTTCTGCATGTAAAGTTGCATCGTATTTGGCACTATACCTGCTTATAGGTAGGTAATTATTGCTTTACCTACTTTTTTCAGTTAGGTAGGTACCTACTTTGAGAGTAAGTAGCTATAGGTAATTACTTTTTCCTAAATTTAATCGGTAGTAAGTAATTAATAATCTTAGGTAGGTATTACAAAGACTTGGGAAAAATACATATACCTATAGGAAGCATTAAGTAGGTAAGTACCTACCTAATAATAAATGTCAAATGTCTATACCTATACATTTTAAAAATTAATTAAAAATCAAAATCTACTGAAATAGTGATTGAACCGAACACGTTTCGACAGCAAACAGTAACAGCTAAGTTGTCAGCTGACGATGACAACTTTGTTGTCAAAACACTTTTGCTTTAAAACTATTCAAATTCTATTTTTGGATGTAGATATTGTGTTCCAGATTAGGTATGCATCAGAAATCTGAGGTTAAACCAAGTGTGAAACAGACTGGGAATTTTGATAACATTTTTCGGGGAGACGTTGGAAACATACCCGTGCATGTCCCTTCATAATTTCTTTTAACTGTATAGACAATAAAATTGTAACGGGTTAGGTACTGCACATATATAGGTATAGAAATGCCTGGCGTTCTTTGGCATTTGGGCAAAATAATTTACCAAGAACTTCAATGTTTAGTAGAGGTTCTCAAAAAAAAGAAATAGTGATTTACGTTACGTCACCGCAACAAATAAAATTAATGCACCAAACTAGGTCAAAGTTATCCTAATTGCAAGTTTCCTCCCTTCGGATTTATTTATTCACGACAGGTTTTAATTCAATTGTTCTGTGAGTGCTAGGTACATGAAAATGAAATTTTTTAAATTTCGTATCTCTGCACATTTTCCTACTTTGCATTACTGAACTCTGCGACATTTACCTAATTATAGGTAGGTATGCATTTAAATTCTTAAGTGAATCGAAGTAAGATTGACTAAGTTACATAAATAAATTGATAGATATGCTGTTGAGATCATTCGTTGCTAAACTCCCAAACAATAAAACTATACTTATATTAAAAGGCGGGTAATTTACCTATCTAAAGAGATATTACTTTTGGTACAATTTTAGAATGTAGATACCCAAAAATAAATATTTTTACCTATACATTTAATGTAGGTACCTACAAATTTTGCTGATCAACATAGGTATAAAAAAATCGTCGAAAAAAAATCTGTCTGTATGTAGGTATCTGCTCTATTCCGGCTAAATGGCTGAACCAATTGGAACCAAATTTGACGTAAAAGGAAGAACTGAAAAACGTTTGGGCAAAATATACTTTATTACGAGCCATATAACAATTAAAGATTGATTTCTCAGAAACCGAACGCTGTAGGTGCGCCTATCTGTTCAAATAACAGCAGAAGAAAAAATTTGCTGTGGCTAACACCGATACCACCCGCACACCTGCGCATGTGCGATTCTGCCCTTTTATATCTAATATATGTGTACCAAATTTGGTGCCAATTGGTTCAACCGTTTAGCCGGAAATGAGAATAGAGGCGGACCAACAGACCGACATCATATAATCGAGATTCCTGCTATGTGAAAACGTGTGTTTCCGTCTAAAAGGTAGGGGGTTTTTACCCCAATGCAATACTTACCCCCCTTACTAACGTGGTAAGTAATTTAAAACAAAATCGGCAATTTCGGTTTTTCCATCATATCTTCGAAAGCAATCGGAGTTTTCTGGTTTTCTTTAAACCATGATGAGAATAACTATTTAATTGCGCAACTTTATCGTACTAACTACTTTGACCATCGTCGTATCTTCGATTTCTCAATCGTTGTCTTGTAGAGTCAGAGTAGAGTGCAAATAGTGACAATAAGAAATTTTTTTAAATTTTTTCTATCTGTTCCAATGTATTTTTCGCGAAGGACCCACGAGTACGTTGAACGCTAACTTCAAATATATATCAAAATATTTGCCTATGGCGCGTTCAATTTGGAACACACGGTATAAAATATTGTAATTATCCTAGGGGTCTATTAAGCCGACACTGAAAACGTTGACTTACCCTATACTTACCGTTCGCAACTCTGGGAAAAACCTACGAGCAGCGCCACCCACCTTTCAAGTCGAAACGATGGACGTTCCGCGGCAGTTTTGAATTTGGATGGCAGCCGGCTCGATATGGGTGGCTACGTTGTGTAATCGGTTCTTGTATGTGTTGGGACGTGAGACATAATCGGGAAGGGAATTAAATAAAAGAACTTTTGTGCGTAAGAAATGACAAGAACAAATAAATATATATTAGGCACACAACAAGACCATACCAGGGAAACCTTCTACGGGACAAAAACCCCGGATTAGGCCGTCACCTGTAGCAATAAAATGCAAGAGAAAACACATATATAAAACATCTCAAATTGCATGATAAAAACCAGCTAATCAAATCAAATTCAATTAAACAAGTTCATAAAAACAAAATACAAGACATCATAAATGCAGAGGAAAACCTGATAAATCAATTCAGTACAAAAAACACATCAAAATACCTGAACAATCAATTGAGATAACCAACTCGTAAAATAATAAATTGCATGTACATAGGAAACGTGTAAATGGTATGGCTCTACTCCAGCCTTCAGTTAACATAAATTAATTTAACACGAAAAGTATATGTGAGAATGCCAATAGCAAGTATTCATGTGAAAATCGATTATCGCTCAAGCAGAACATATTTTGAATAGAGGAAATGTTAAAGAGAGCCCCTACATATCTCGCATTGCTAAGATGCTAAGAACTGCAATCCGCACGAGACGAGTAGGCAACAGATACAGCGAAAAATCGAACTGTAGTAGGTACTTACTCCACGGAGACAGAATGAACCACAACACACATAACGCTCTTATTGCAATGAGCGGAGATAACATGAGGCAAACTTTTACAAAACATTACAGGCAAATTTATCTGAATAATAGGAAGCGATTATTTAAACAAAAGTACGCATCATTAAGTAAATAATTCCCAAACAATGACCTCAAATTAAAAAATAAATGAAAATAAAGTCATACAGGGTGACCCATCGTTATTATAGATGCCGATACAAAATAAAACGTCCGCGTGGCGTTATATGGTGTACACTACAATATTTATTTAAAAAAATGAAGGTTTAATTTCCCTTGTGTAATATTTCAGATTGTGAAGAGGAAAAGATGAAGTTAGAAAAAGGGAATATTACTAAGTGACAATTTGCGCCGACTAATTTGATCAGTACTCGTTACTTAAAACGTATTTTAATTACACACAAAATTCAGTTATCGTTCATAGAACTTCAATCCGTTCAATTTTTTAACAAAACGCGAGACAAAACTACAAATAAATTCTTAAATAAAACAGATCATATGACATATTTGTCGGCCGTGGAAGATATTATATCCACGTTAAAACAAAGGCAAAATATAAATCAAAAGGCACTTTACAGTTACATTAGCATCTTCTCTATTTCATGTAATCAATTGCAGAACAATTCGTCACGACCGACGGTAGCAAAAATGTACGACACCCGAAAAGACATGACAAACCGTTACAGATTACCTGCACTTTTGTACCTGCTCCGATGGTTCACACATTGCATTGTAGAACGTCTGATCTTAAATACCTCATCAAAAAAAGGGTTTCGGATTGCGATATAGGTAGAAAAAGATAGGTCATTAAATTAATACATATGGAAAACCTAAAAAGACACGTGTTAACAAAATAAGGAATCTTTACCGTGTCCCATTCACGGAAATACGTTTAGATGTAGATTTCAGACAATTTTGCTTGATCTCTCTGGATTGTTAACATGAAATTCCCACATCTTTCGCAAAATAAAGACCAGCCATTTCAAAGACAAAAGCAACAGATATAAATATTCTCCTAATGTATAGCGGATTCATTCGGTTACTCAAACTAAGAGTACATTCAACGAAACAACGGGACATTACAGTACGTTGACCGAGATATCGGCTCGACGAATTTTATTGAAATTTTGGATATGCAGGTATATTAGGCATAGGTACGGAAAGGAAAAATAACCGACCGGATTTTTGAAAAAAAATGTGGGACCGCCGCAACGGCCTCAACCATTTTTTTCAAATTGTAAACTATTCGAAAGACTCCTTTTCTGTGTGTGTGTGTACAACCTACAAAACTTCTGTTAGGTTTTCTAAAAAAACGGATAATAAATGTTAAAGTTAAAAAATTAAAAAAAGTTTTGCATTAGGCGTAAGGGATGTGAGACTGTCAAAAACTTTTTTTACATCTGATTTAAGCTAGGAAGCCTGTTCTGTCGCGAATTTGACACGTGCTTTTTATTTGGAATGGAACATTTTTACAGTTTTAACAAAGATGCTTAAAATTGTACTTTATAAACTTTTATACTTTTTAGGTATATTTAACGTGCTTTTCTTTAAATTCTGAGTTGTAACCAAATTCATGCGCAAATTACACTGTATGTTCTTAAACTTCATTGATTTTACATCAGTTCGCAATAAGATTTAATTAAGTAAATTGATTTTAGTTAGTGCACGTAACGTATGCATTACAAACGTTATGTTACGGCCAACCGTCCAATACCTCGTCCTCACATGTTCGTTTGAAATATTTTAACCGAAAACACCTCAACGTGTGCCACAGCCACAATAGAGTATGAATATTCAAAATAACAATAAATCCGGTACATATAAATTCTTACCTACTCATATAAATTGTGTGATCAAAACTCTCTAAACCTTCTCCATATAGTTTTTATTCGTTGAAGTTTTTTAAAAATAAAAGCGACTATAGTTTCGGCGTACTGCCATCATCAGGCGACTAGAAGTTTGCGAAATGCACCGACGATTAGTTGACCGTGTTATAGAACATTTTTGTTGCATGAAACACAAACATCGTGACCATCATACAATAAATAAACAGTAATAATTTTGTTTTTTTTCAGATCGTGCTCAATTCAATGCACCGTTACCAGCCAAGAATTCATTTGGTCAAGTGGAAGGATCACACCGGTCCCGTCACCGATTTAGAACAAGAGCAGTATCGATCCTTCATCTTTCCAGAAACGGTTTTCACCGCCGTCACCGCCTACCAAAATCAATTAATTACAAAATTGAAGATAGACTCAAATCCGTTCGCGAAAGGATTTCGTGATTCCTCAAGGCTCACCGACTTTGATAGGTAAGTTCTTTGATTCGTTTAGCTTATTTACCTACTTTTAACGGTTAGAAATCAATTGAGGCTGCACTTTTGAAAGATAGCCATCGCAAGCTTTAAGTATATCTACGAGTTGTAATTTATGCAATCCCATTGTGCGGAGATGGAAAGCGATTTGTCAAATATGAAACATTTCAACTGGAAGATGATTATTATTATGTTCATTGTGCAGCATATTCAAGGTCCCAACATTCGATATTACGTTAATATAAGATAAAAATCACGTCTCGACAGATCTATAGGTAGTGTCTGGGTGGTCAAAAATCTTAAGTAATCCGTTACGAAATGTTTCACAAGATGGTAGATAATATAATTCTTTAGATATCTTGACAATCTTGAGTTTTATGGCAGTTTATTAAGTCATTGTACTAATTTCCTCTTTTTTTATTTGTAAACGATTAAATTTGTGGCAACCGCTTTCAGGCTTTTGAAAGGCACTTCTATTGACTGTCGATACCCACTTCGTATTCTTGATGCTTGTTTTTTCGATACGCTCGCAGGCGATCAAATCGACTAGGGTATTAAAAACGAAATGGATTTGACACCAAGTCCTTTTGATTGTGTAAGTAGTAGGTGTGACTTTTCTGCTCGTCCATCTACTATGCTAATGATCATGAACATTCAATTAACGTTTATGAAGTTGCTAGCATATCTACATAATAATGGTGATCAAGAGCTTTTCAAGAATTGCAAATGAGTCCCAAGGAATATTCGACTCTGAAACAAGTCCATTGAAAATTGAATATAAATTAAAAATTCTTCTTATTATTGGTTTTGCTCGAAAGAAGGTGACCACTGGATGTATTAAGTTCGCACGACAATAAATTCTTCGTAAATGGTGCCTGGTGGCATAAATAGTCAGTTGTACGGCTAACGACAGTTATACGGCTTTCGGTTCGAACTCTTACTTAATAATGAAATTTTTACGCGATCTCAAAAATACAACATGTTATTGTACATTGTACATAAAAGTACAACTCAAAATATTTGCATTGAAAGCTTGGCGAAGAATTTCGTTTTACGCGATCTAAAAGTGCATCGCCCTACCTGCATAAGCCATGTTTTGAAAGTTTTGGTAAGAAATCCGCTCTCCCACCAGATTTTTACTTAAGCACTTGCCGAATTTAGAATACGAATCGAACCCACCGCAACCGAAGCGTTCACTCTGTTTTTTATACACGCAAAGGTATAGCAGAAAATACTTCTTTCATTCTCCGTCGCGACGGCTTTTAGAACCGGCACCACGGTAGCGTTTCGACCGAAAGCGACCACCTGTTAGCAACAGGTTGTACTTCATGCACCTTTCATGTTTTCTTTACCATGAATTCTTGATACCGCGTTCCTTTTGGCCTGTTTACTTTGCGTCTCCTTCCGATATCATTAATACCACCATTCCGTCGTGCCCCTTTCACATTTTCGATATCAAAACTATATGTTTCCTTTGCGTCTTCGTTAACGATTCTTTCCGTCTTTTTCACGCGTCATGTTCTTTAAGCTTCCTCACGTTTGTTTCCTTTATACATGTCTCGTTTGTTTACGCTTTCATCATTCAGGTTTTCATTGTCCTTCTCATAATATTCATATCATTCCTTCAAGCGTCTTACACAATCGCTTCATGCCTTCTTAACGTCTATTTTTTTTATCGGTTCCTTTCTTTACGCGAATGATTCACGTCTCCATCGTCCTCTAATCCATTTTCCTCCTCGAGTCTGCCTTTTATACGTCTGCTAAACCTTTTTCATACTTTGCTGATACTCTGAACTGCTTTTTTCATTACAAGTCAGTCCCACTTACTTCATTCACGTTACGTGTCCTTTTTTCAAGTTTCGTCTATTACAATTTTTTCACGCCTCTCGGAGCAAAACTTATCTTTTCCTTTACATCTTCTTTGCGTATTTTTGGTGACCCTTTTCGCCTTTGCGATTTCACTCCAATTACAGAGTTGCGTGACCCCTCTTTCTTAGCCCATAGTCCCTTCACACATCTTCGCACCACGTTATCTTCGTTTAACGCCACCTCTCTTCACACCATTTTTAAGCCTCCTTTTGTTCGCCTTTTTCCTTATTGTCTACGCGAATATTTCACTCATTTTACCTTCCTTTACACCAACGCAACTTTTACCAATTCTTTGCGCTTCCGTTATTCCCCCTTCCTTTCCTCGGATGTTTTGACATTTCGTTTTGCACACTTCTTTCCTTCGCATTTTTTTCGTTCACTTCCTCTATTGACCATTTTACTTTCTTCACAGCTTTGAGCTTATTCATGCATTTGAATGCCTTTTTTACACTTCCTTCGCAACTTTTTTACGCCTCATTACTCCTTTCGCTTTCTGTATACATCACCATTTTGGATGTTTCTTTCTTCACAGCTGTTTCTTTTAAACTTCCTTCTTTCACTCTCGCCCTTTCTCTTCTTTTCCTCTGGTTTCGTACTTTTTTCAAGCCTCTTTATTTCAAACTCTTCTTTAACGATACGTCTCTTTTGCGTTTTTTTCGCATTCCTGCATTTTTATTTTCTTTAAGCTTCCATACGTCTTTTTCCTTTACACAATGCCTGTTTTGCTTACCCTTTATCATTCAGATTCATACTCCTTCTTCAGAACTCCCTTCACTCCCTTCCTTCGCGCATTGTTCACTGCACGGATCCTTCACGTCTACGACTTTACTGCTCCCATTCTTTACCAGTGATGTACGGCTCCATTTTTTGAAAATCCATTTATGGTCTCACTTCGCTGTTTTTCACATATGTTCACCCCTTTTCTTGACACCTTTAGACACTTTGGACGCATTTTTCTTCTGTTCATTAAATTCCACATATACGAGTATCTCCACCATGTCTCTTTCCTCTTCGGTTCCTTTAACGCCTCATTTGCCCTTTTCGGTGCTTTTATTTGATATCTATTCCTTCACGCCTACATCAGAGTTGCCTCGTGCCTCTGTCCTTACCATAGTCCCTCTTGAAATTTCTTCCATAGGCGTGCCAAAGGGTCTTCAAACTTTGTTGTCTTAAGGAAGGGGCTCCCCCATGAATTTTTTCCCGAGATACTGTTTCTGAAAGTGAAATATGCATAACTTTTATCTGCAACAACCAATTTGTCTCAGATTTTGCATACCCAGTGGTGCCAAATAAAATTTTTGAAAATTTGGGGGAGGGGGGTGTAGAAGTAAAAACACGGAAGCATTGCGGAGAATTTCTCGAATAGCTATTTAGGTTAAAAAATGCAGTTTATCTGTACAAGAGTTGTGCACAATTTATGCTTGTTTTGTTAATGCCTTCCTTACATACGTTTCTCTTCGTTAAAACTTGTTAGTTAGACATTTCCTTTTGCATTTCTTTTATTCGCATATTCCCTTCTCACCTCTTCCCTTTACTCTCCGTTTACATTTTCTCGACATGTATGAACGATCCTCGAGATTTAAAAATTAATACACATGTTCTTCAGGATATAAGAAAGGTCGCTATTGTTTTTGGGTACGTAGACCAACGGGCCAAAAGTTACAGCCCAAAAACTGTCCAAACCTCCAAAAAAGGTTTGTTTTATAACTCTTGCTACAAAGAACATATGAATGTCCGGTTTTTTGTGTTAGTAAACATTCCGTAAACCTCAGTCAACGATGTAGATGCCAAAAAATATTGCGCATGCGCATTCCAACTTATGTATTTACGCAATCCCAATTTTTGTATTAACGATTCTCGAGATCGTTTATAATTTTGTTTATTATTTTTATTTTTATTTTATTTGGCTTCTATTTTTGAGTGGGCAGGGTTTCAGCCAAGGCTGCTCTACCAACCCAACCCACTATACATTTACAAATACCCATGCCCGAACCCGGATTCGAACCACGGAACCTTAGCACCACAGTTCAGCTTTAACTGAACTGACCCACACGGTCCGGCTTGTATTGCTGTTTGTCTGTTCGTCTGTTTGCCCGCCTGTCTGTCCGTCAGCCTATCCGTCAGTCTGTCTGTCTGTCTGTCCGTCCGTCTGTCTGTATGTCCGTCTGTACGTCCGTCTGTCTGTCCATCTGTCTGTCCGTGTGCATGATAACTTTGTGTACAAACGTCCGATCGCTTTGAAATTGATACACATGTTCTTCAGGATATAAGAAAGGTCGCTATTGTTTTTTGTTGTTTTTTTATTTTATAAGATATTGAAATGAAATGAAATGTAGGCACCTCAAATAGTAAAACTAAAGCAGATTCAAAAAATTTGTTTTCAAGCTATGCTGATCTGGTGGGACGGAATCAACCCCTTAAGGTGTATATTGTAAAAATGATGTATGTGTGAAGATCTCGAGGATCGATTGGAATTCAGTTGTATGGGATTTTTTGTTAAGATATTTTAATGAAGTTTTGTATGTACCTTGGCACCTCGAATAAAAGTAAAACTAATGCCGATTCAAAAAATTTGTTTTGCGCATGCGGAGTTGATTTTTATTTGTTAAGATATTTAAATGAAATTTTGTATGTACCTAGGGCCCCAGAATAAAAGCAAAACTAATGCCGATTCAAAAAATTTGTTTTACAAGCTACGCTATTCTGGTGGAACAGAATCAACCCCTTAAGGTGTATTGTAAAAATGATGTATATGTGAAGATCTCGAGGATCGTTCGGTATTCAGTTGTATCCCTAGTTGTATCGGATTTTTATTGCTCCCTTTACAACACTTTTACACTACGTTCTTTAGGGTTTCCTGAATGGATTCCATATGCATACTTCAGGATTTTATCACGCCCTCTTTACCTATTTCTTTCTCTTTCTTCATCCGGATTTTGTTCAAACTCTTTTTTTTTAAGCAACGTCTTCCATTACTACATTTCATACTTCTTTCTCCTCTGCCTTTTCAACTCTTCCTTCGTCCTTTAGGCGTCTTCTTCACGCCCCCTCCTTTAAAATTTCTTTTCTAGTCTTTACACCTATTCGCCACTTATCTTCATGTCACTGCGGGTTTCTCAGACAGTCAGAACTGTTTCCTTTTTACATCGCTTCCTTTTCATTCTTGCTATTATCACGCGTTTCTTGTGCTTATGCATTCATCATCCCGCCCTTCACACTTTTTCTTTGTATTTCATTCAAATCTCTACGTTATCTTCGCACTTCCTTTATTTCCGAACCATTCACGCCATTCTTCAACTTTTCTCCTACCTTTGTGTGTCACGCCTCCTCAAGCCTTTTGCACTTTTATACGCCTTCTTCATACTCTCTTTACGCACTTTCTAGAACCCAAATGATTTTTCTCACCTAACTTCACGCCCTTTTCTTCTCATTCGCGCTTCTTTTACGCCACCTTCACATCTCGTTCATGTCTTCTTCGCGTCTCTTTTTTAAAACTTTCCTTCATATATGTATACGCATTTTGCGCGTTTTCTTCGTTTACTCACCCCAACAGTTTTACACACTACTTTTGTATTCTTCTCAGATCTCTTTCGCGCTTACATTACACCTTCACACGCCTCTCTCCACCAAGAGTCTCGTTTCTTACGGCTTTGTTTTTTGCGTCTCCTTCTCTGACAGTTACGACTCCCTTTTTATCCCTCTTTTCCTCACGCTTTGATCAAGTCTTGTTTACGTAAATTTTTTTCACCTTCACAATTTGTTTATACATGGCGCTTCGACCACTCCTTCGTCACAACTTCTTCGCCCCCTTTTACGAAAGCTTTTTTCCCTTGAGTAAAAAAGGAGAAATAACATCAGTAAGTACTCGTTGAAAAACCGCTGGTGCTTCTGCATTATATTGCATCTTCATGTTTTCTTTTACTGATATTTCGCTCAAATATGCCCTCTCAGGCCAAATTTCATTAAATTATCGAAAAAGACACTTTTCGAAATGGAATAATATCATTCTATACAATTCACTTTGTAATATCAACATTTCGGTGCTTTTTTATGGTATTGTTACCCTACTGTACACCTACTGGTAGTAATTTATTGAAATTCACCTTTCATGATGGTTTTAGCTAATCTTATAATGTCGCGACCTTTGAATTTTACAGTTTTTGCCTTAATCTTTTCCAAAAACTATGATGTAATAAGTAATAGGTATGTTTACAAAAATTCAAATAATTTAGCCAGCTTTTTCTGAAAAACGAAGCTCGATAAGAACAAATCAGACTACTGCTACCAAATTGGTTTGAAATGATAGAAACGTTTTTAGACGTTCTTATCACACATAGAACAGATTATTTACCATCTTGTATTTCATAAGAGAATTTCGATTTAAGCTGATGCATTCAGTTTCTATTTTGTTTTGGATTATTGGGTGTCTACTTCGAGAATGAAGTTGTATTCATGTGTATAGATGTAGCTCTCTGAGAAAAACGTTTTACTAAGAACACCTTTCTAAGTAATTACTACTTAACTTGCAGTTATTAGCAAGCCGTTTTTACGGTCCATAAACTTAAACGGTAGCGTAGTGATGAGCTTTACCCTCGCGTCGTCTCGCATAAAGGTGTGATGTAAGCACGTCAGGATCATCTACTTTCAAAATAAAAAAGAAGCCTTTTTATGTCCGGACCGGCTTTGAGTTATTATACGTTACACCATTTAAGTTACGTATTATTATATTTAAAATAAGATTATACATCACACATTTCTAACGTACAATAAAAATTCCGATGTAATTGTATCGCGTTATGTTATATGTCACTTAAAAGTGTTGCTATCTCGGTAATTTCCATGACAAAAGGCCCGCTCCCTTCGGGGCTTCTTTTCTATAATTATCGTTGGTAGCATCCTCGATACTTAAGGAGAGGAACATTTAGATTCGACCCGAAGAAGAATTAGGGTTTGTCGCCTCCGTTTTAAACAAATCATAGAGAACGCGTTCAAGTGGAGAAACCGTGAAAACAATCAATAATATTGAGATAGAATGATCGCGCGGTGAGCCGATAATAAGAGGGCCAGAACTCCGCCTCTCGCCGCAGGCTGCCACCAGGGGTTGCATAGTATACCCGCCGCCCTAATTACAGACGGACAAAAACTCAAAATAAGAAAATAACTGGGAAAACACCGCGTTCACGATAGCCTACCTGAGGTGTGAGAAAATATGTCGGGTTCATTATATCATCAAGCCATCGTCATGAAGACAACGATTGTCTAAAATTACAAGGCGGCTTCTACTTCTCCGCCTATATAACACCGCGCTGAGATGAAAACACGTAAATTAAATTCTATCACAACAGCAATAAGCCCGAGATACATTTTGCTAAATTCGTGCCAGGTTATTATGTTTATCACTTTCAGCTTTATCGTGCCCGCTTTAATAGTCGAATTCCATTTAATTAATTGGTGCGTGCTGAAATTCGAGCTGGCCCCGTATTAATTTCCTCATTAACCACTGTTAACAAACTTATATAATTACGCCCGGGTACATCAAGCGATGCCGCCGAGGTGCACGCGATTTTTTTCTTACACCTGTAATTTAATGCTCATTAGTTACCCCTTCGCTTTCGTTTCAGAGAACCGATGGACAGCTTGTTCATGGAGCAGCACTTCCTACGAAATTCCCTGCGACTCTACGGAGATCCGCTCGATGCAGAAAACAACAATTCCGGCTCGCTTTTCTCGGCCGCGATGATGGAGAAGGCTCGTGCCCACATACAGATGTGGGGAAGAGCTGGAGGTAATCCCTACAACCCCAGTGAGCTACACGCGATGTTGCTCAGTGGTGCACCAGGACAGTATTTAGCACGTAGCGCAGTTCCTTTAGGTATACCCACACAATTGTGGAGTCAAAGCGGTGTCTCATGGCCTAATCCCATTCACGGCGGATTGCCCCCCGGTTTACTGGGCCCGCCGCCCCCTCACAGGCCGCAAATAACTCCCCCGCCTCCCCCATCCTCAACACCAAGTTCCTCGTCTGGATCGCCCAGTCCTACCACCGTAAATAGCTCTTCCGAATTACGTCTCCCCAAAGCACTATTTCCGAGCACCTTACACCGCTTCAGCCCGTACACTCCCTCACTGTCAAGAACTTCAACCTCATCCATTAGCCCGACGTCACGGTTAACCCATTGATCAACTGTCCTGCTGTAATCCAATATCCTACCAAAGAAGTGTATGCATAAGACTACTGTATGATATCACTGTACATAATCAATTTAAATATATTTATTACTTAGTAGTTTATTATGTACAAAGAAGTTCTTTACGTCGTATATTTTGTATAAATGTACTATTTATGACAGTATTACGTTTACCAGTGTGTTTTTCGAAGAGAGAAACTAAACTATATAGTAAATAGACTCTCGCATTACGTGCGGATCATTGTGTTCCTTATTATTGTGTAATTTTCGTGTGAATATACAGTCACGTGTATATTTTATATTATTTGTTTATTGCCTGGGATATTCTGTTTATACTTATTAGCCTCGTTGTTGTTATGTAAATATAAACATTACATGGATTACATTAAACCAACTTAAACACTCGCAACTAGTTTTTCTTTTGTTCTGAGTTCATTCCATATATAAGTTGAAAGCTCTTTCAAATTTTTGACACACTTGATTTGAGAATTGGGGGCAATAAATCTTCGTCACTGCTGCAGTTAAGAAAATGTTGTGACATTTCGGGGTTGCATAGAATTTTATTAAAGGAAGAGGGTCTATTCTCATTCTTATCTCTGACATGCTGATTTAGCATGTCAAATTGTGAAAAGCTGAGAACGGCATTTGCTATTTAAATTGTGACGGAGAACAGCGTTTTGAAATTGGGCTGAAATGCAGAACAAGGTAAGTGAAATTTTTTTAATTGTAATATTGAGTCGCTAAATGAGATGGTAGGTAGGTACAATTGAATAAAGCTGATGATAAAATGGTTTGACAAGAATCGCGTGTTGCGTGTATAAATTGTAACAATAGAAAAATTTCGCATTCACGATTAGTAATTATCTGACAATAAAACCATCCCATATTTTTCATGAGGTATGAACAGGCATTACTATTCCGGTAACTATTAATAGAAAAATGTTTAATGGGAAAGATGGCGTAGTGATAACTCATTTTAAATGCTTAAAAGACTATTCAACCGTCCATAGCTAATATAACATCATAGAGTAAATTAGTAGGTATCAGAAACTTTATCTCGAAAAAGAAAATTTATTTCGTTTTATACCCATATTTACCTATTTACTTACATTTAGCACTTAACTTCTTTTGTCACGTTAGACTACTATATCAATTATTTAACTGCTATTTACGTAATTATTATTATTAAGTAATCATCATAAATGTAGTGTAAGTATCTAGTTTTGTGTTAAATGGAATGGGAATTAAAAGTTTAGTTAGATTTTTACAAAAACTTGTCAAAAAGTGGACATTAGGTACCTGCTGGAAATGTGTGCAAACTTCATTGCGACGATTTTTAATGACTTAGTGACACCAGTTTGAAGTATATAACTTATTAATTTATATTTTGGTTACTAAAATTAATAAAATAGATCCATAAATAGTAAGTGTGGGTGCTGCTCAAGAGTCACGTACGAAGCAACTTCCCCTTTCAATTAATTTTGAATTATGCAATATTTTTAGCATTGGAAATATTTATGTTCGTATATGGGTACAAGGTTACAAGTTTAATTCAAGGTCAAAAGACAACGTATCAGTTGCTACACTCGCTCACAAGCTCACTCGTGTCGCAAATGTAAACCTCCTGCATAATAAGCGTCATAACGTGAGTGATGTGCGATAATCTTAGATTGAAATCTGACTTTTCCTTCACCTACCGATCATGGCCGACTATGGTACACTCGTCACTTGAAGCGACACATTTGTCTCTTAGCCTTGAACCAAACTCATAACTTTGTACCCATACACGAACATAAACATTCCCAATGTGAAAATCGGATACAGTTTTGAACACCCCCCCCCCCCCCCCCCCCGAAATAATCTTTGTTCGCTCTTTGTTTGTAGAATTTGTTTGTTTGGTTGTCTGACAAGTGTTGGTGCTCTTTTAACATAAACGTTGGCCTTAACATGAATCTATGATTTATACCACAAATTTCATAGTAGGTAAATTTCCTTGTTCCAAAAATTATATTTTGCTCATTTCTCTGCCCTGCCTGATGCTCCTTGCGGGCACGTCTCCGCTCGCGCCGCTCAGGTCCAAATGTCGTGGTTATTTTGGAGATACTGCAGGCACTACATTTTAGACTAATAATTGTATGGCAGTCGGGTCTACTTCAATTCCACTCTGATTTACTTCAAACTCAATTTTTTACATTAATTATAAACTCGAGCTCATTAGTGACGTTTACGTGCAAACAATTCCTATTATCATATGAGATGAGATGAGATGAGTTCTTAGAAATTACGGTCCTTAGGACGTCGGGTTTATTAAAACCATTTAGATTTATTAAAGATTATGAAAAGTTGTTTCCATTGATGACTAGGAACTTACTTACGAATAAAGTCTTAAATGCATCGATAATGCTGACTTATATGAAGGAAATGTCAAAGGTATTTAAATCTTCTATCTTTTGGTGCATTCATTCAAAACTTCAAACAAAAAAAAAAAAAGTGGAACAGATTTGGAAGCATACTCTAAATTACGCGCGCTTGTGAAAGCTTCAACCAAAGGATAGGTACAAGCCAAAGAAATGTTCTGCATTTACAGAAAGCGACCTAAGAGGATTTTTAATTTCACCCATATGACAGTTTCAAAAGTCATACTTGAACTATCATTACTTGGCAACTTTAAAGCACATGGACGGAGATTGTGATTCAGGTATAATAAAATAGTATATTAAGAAACAAGTTTTATAAGTGGCGCGTTTAACGCACGAGTTCAAGTTTAGAAAACGAGCCGCTTGCGGCGAGTTTTCTAATGAACGAGTGCGATGGGGCGTCTTATGAAACAAGTTTCTTATACTATTTTTTCTATTGAGAAGATATTTTCGAGAAATTTTTATCAAAATGATGTTATAGTAACTTTTTGTAACTAGGGAATTTTGATATAGAAGTTGTATTAGTGCAGGTTGTATTAAGTTGGCAGTACGACGTCCCAAATATTTCACATATTTAAATACAGTCTCATCAATTTTGTTTTAATTAATAAACTTCAGAAATTAGTACAGTAACTGTGGAACAATTCATAAAGGCAAAATACAGTCCTTCGTCCTTTTATATAAGTTATGTGATATTCAGTCGTGTCACTGTCGATTAACGACAAAGCTAACAGCTAACAGATTTCGCCCATATGACACTGCTTCTACTTATATTGGTGACTGACATAAAAAGAAAAACAAAGGTTTCTTTTCGCGATTTGCCATTAACGGTCACTAACGGAGCGGTCCTTAGTGCGTTGTTGTTACGTGATAGGTGTCACTCATTACGACGAGTTCGGCTTCGGATTGTCACTTCCTCTTAGGAGCATAACGATACTACACAAATCAGGCTCACGATATTAATAACGCAGAACAAGTGCTAAAAGCAATAAGCTGCTTCTTTAAAATATTGTTTAATGTGTTCCGAAGGTATCCTCGTTGTCATCCTTTCCCCATTCGAAATCTCCTTTATAACCTGTAGGTCTTTTTTGGAAGATACTATTCGTACTAGTAATCATTGGTCACAGATTGCACGTAGATGTTGAACGTGCTACAAAAAGAGGCATTAATCAATAATGTAAAAATTTACCTCAAAGCCCCACATTGTTGATATCTCGGTTCTTACGCTACATACCGTGATATTTAATTCCCTTTTGAGTTTTGGGAGAATGTAATTAAGTGGTTTTTTTCATATTGTTCTTTTGTAATTTGATAACACTTTATCAGCCTTACATGTCTCGCTTTTAATCAAATAGAAAGGAAATCTTGTCTTTCTGTATATCAAAACATAACCCTAATTTGTAATAAATACAATCGAATGTCAAATAGGGTAGTGAATTTAGGTTTTCCTCTTTAATACCAACTTAAAAACGGTGCGTTAATAGGTCTCATTAACGCACTATTCCTATTTCCTGAAGTTCGGTATTCTAACAAGACTACGTGAAATTGACTTCTGGAAGAAAAGAACTTGCAGTACATGGAACTCGACCCTGAAAGCGTTGATTTCCACGCATTTGTTTCTCTGAAACTCGATTTCATTTCAGTGAGGGGTAGTTTTTTTATTTCTAGAGAAACTGTAAGAATTTGTTTTTCATTCATTAGCTGTTGCTAAATCACAATAAATGTATTCTTGTAATTTTGATCTGTATACGGGAGTAAAAAGGGTACGTCCTAAACAAAGTTTGAAGTGGTGTTTTTTTTTTTAAATTTCGTTTACGAATTTCTAATAATTAATGAGATTATCAGTGAAAGAAAAAGAACTAAGTTCTTTCCTATTCTCAATTCACTTTTACCTGAGCTAGCCTGGAGAGTAAAAGTACGAAAGGTGAGTTCCAACGTACTACAACAGAAGAACACAACAAAAAAGATTGTAAGAAGAATTACATCAATAGAACCACGAAACCGAAATTATTTCCTACAATTGTAACTACCGTTACACTTACGAAGTATTAAACATGTAATACAAATTACTGCATCCTCAATAAAAGTTCCGAATTCTATTTTCTCCCAAAACATACAGGATATTCCATTAAAGAAAGCCCAGAGATGCTACTATATACCGCTGCTAGCATTCAAAGCTCGAACTGCGTCTGTCTATATCAATATCCTATAGTGGATTTTTCAAAGTATTTTTTTGCATGGTCACTTGCAAAGCACTTGGCGTCACTTATAGCAGGCGCTGTCCTACGATTTTCTTTGGAACACAGGTCAACGAAAACATAAAAATTTCTTGCGCATGGGATTTACATTTGTATATTCTGACTATAATAACCAAAAATATATAAAAAGTGCGATTGGACATCGAAAATATTTACTTTTACTATTAAGTCATGAAAGCTTTCAGGGTCGAAAATTAAAGCTGGAATCTTTGTAGGCTCCCAAATAAAAAAAAAATATGGATTGTGATCATTTCCCGCTGTTACTTAGCAATGAGGATGAGAACAGTTTTAAGGTAGTCCATGGTTTCCTGGGAAACCGTAAAGCTGAAAATTATGATGAGCTGACTACTGCCATGATTTCGTTTTGCATCATTGGATATCTAATGTCTCTAAAAATGTTCTCATTTGGATAAATTTAAGGATAATATGGGAGCTTATCGGGAACAACAAGAGGAACACTTCCAGATATAATGGAATTTGATAATAATAATAACAGCACTACAGGCTCACAAAATACTGTAATGTCTCCACCAATAACCCAAGTAACCACACAAATACAACCTCAAGAATAAAGAAAAACCATAAATACAAGTAACGCAACATGCACTACAAAGACAGGTCCACCCAATAAAGTTACACGCCCTAGCACAGTTAAAAAACATAAAACGCATTCTTCACAGAAGCACACCACGTTATCACAACCCA